CCTCCCCCGGCGGCTCCCAGGCGGGGCTGCCCCCAGCGCGGAGCGCGCGCGCGCCCAGGCCAGACCGGGTCGGGGAAGAGCTGGTCGATGTCGGGGGTGCCCAAGGACCTGCTGCTGCGCTCCTCGCGAGGGAGCAAACACAAAAGGCGTCGTCGGCTCGCCGCCGTGGGGAGCCCGCCTGCATTGTGACGCCGCCGCTGCTGTGCAGGAGCGGGGCGCTTCTTGAACAGGGTGTCAGCCAGCGTGGGGCCCAAGCAGTGCGCTGCTAGCAGTATCTGTCATGCAATGGAGGTGGGGCAGTCAATGTGGTGCAACCTGTGTATAGCTGCGCAATTTATGTTGTACAATTTATGTTGTGCATTCTATATATATATACATATGTATACACACATGTGTGTGTGTGTTAGCCACCGTTGACCCCATACAGTATGTTCCTAGCAATGTAAGTTGTGCAATCTATATGTGGTGCAATTCACTTGCCGAACTTGAAGTGGTAAACTCCACTGCTCGCGCAATCATCCCACCCACCCACCCGCAACTTGGTTTGCAAAATCCATGCGGGACCGAGCACGACTATCGCTGCGGGATCGTCTTGGAGCCCTCGGGGGCGTCTCAAGAGCGCCCCAAGAAGGCCGGAGAAGCAAGACGGCCGACGACGACGACGGCGGCGGCGACGACGATGACGCCGACGTCGACGACGACGAAGACGACGCCGACGCCGACGACGACGACGAAGACGACGACGACGTCGCCAACGAAACGACGCGGAGGGAGGAGGGAGGACGACGACGGCGACAACGACGACAGCGACGACAACGACGACATCGAGGGAGGAGGGAGGACGGCGACGACGCGAACGACGAAGAAGGAGGAAGGACGGCGACGCCGACGACGACAACGACGAGGGAGGAGGGAAGACGACGACGAGACGACGACGACAACGACGACGACGACGGCGACGGCGACGAAATAGGAGGGACGACGACGAGACGCCGACGACGGACGACGACGACGACGACAAGGGAGGAAGATGAAGGACGACCACCGCGACAACGACGACGGAAACGACCACGACGCCAAAGAGGACGACGACGACGAACACGAGGAAAGACACAGGACGACGTAGGCGACGACGACGACGACGCGGGAGGAGGGAGGACGGCGACGACGACGACGACGACGACGCCGCAAGAGCGCGCGCGCACGCTTTTGTTGAAAATCCGTGTTGCGAAACCTTGTGTTTTTGTAGGTTTTTTGGACGCGCGATTTCGAAATCCTTCCGGGACCTATGGGTTTTGGAGGATTTCGGCCTACGCGCGCGGCGACCCACTTCGACCCTTTTTTGCAGAGGATTCTCGCGACGGCACACGCGCAAAGGCTTTCGACAGATTACGACGCGCGCGCACTTTTTTTGCTGGGGGGGCAGAGGATTCGCGACGGCACGCGCGCGTGGGCGTTCGAAAGATTTCGGCGCGCGCGCGCGAAACCCGTCTTGTAGCATGTCTTGAACATGTTTTTTTTGGTGTAACAAAAAACGCGTGGTTTCTGTAAGATTTCGCAAGAGCGCGCGCGTAAGTTGTTCGGCAAAACCGCGTTGCAAACTCGATTTTGAAATCCCTCCGAAATCGAAGGTTTTTAAAGGATTTCGGGATGCGCGCGCGACGACGCGCGCGCGAGCACTTCGTCCTAGGTTTTCGCAAGGATTTCTTGAAAACTCGTATGATTTTTGGCAAGCGAGTGTGCGCGCATAGTTTGCTTTGCATGGGGTGGCGGGGGGAGTGATGCCGGCCTGGCTGGGATAGTATGAATTCGCAGGTGGGATGGACGAGTGTGCAGAATAGATGCGAAATTGAAATGCCCCAGGGGGCGCCGTTAACTCCGGGGGGGGTCCTTTTTTATATGCGGAATAAATAAATAATTAATTTCTGTTCACAGTGAGTTGCCCACTCCGTTGCTCGCGCAAACAGCCCGCCCGCCCGCTCGCGACTTGGTTTACCAACCTCCTGCCGCGGCGATTGCGATGAGTGCTCGGCGCTGGCTGGCGCATCTCTGCGGCCGCGCCAGCCCGCGCGTGCGCGCGCAGCGGTCAGGTAGTTTGGCGCGACCGACGAGGCCGCGGTGGCGCTGACCGCTCGGCACATCCCAGCGGGCACTTCAGTGCGAGTCGGCGGCTTGGGCGGGTGCGGTATCATGGCAACGTTGACAAGTGTATACGCGATGGCGATGATAGTGGAGATGTTGGTGAGGGCAGTTGTAGGCTCGAGGATGATGACAGTGGCGATGACTGTGCCGATGCCGATCGCGCCAAGGACGATGACGGCGTCTTCGCGACGGTGATGAAGGTGTTGTGAGGAATTCGACATGCGCGCGCGGCAGACGCGCGAGAGTGGCTCGCTTGGTATTATGTGACACGGATCGTGCCACCCCAGCACGTGCGCGAAGGGCGTTCGAACGATTTCGACATGCGCGCGCGCGAAGCCCGTTTGGCAGCATGTTATGAACATGTTGAAGAATTATTGGTTTTCTTATGAATTCGCAAGAGCGCGCGCGCACGACTTTGTTGAACATTCCTTTGCGTTTTTTTGTTTGCATTTTTTATACACTTGGTTTTGGCATTCTTCGACGCCGAAGGATTTTGAAGATTTTCGGCACGCGCGCGCAACGACGCGCGCGTGTGCACTCCGTCACATTTTTTGCGCAATGGGTTTTCGAACACTTGTGATGTTTGATGATCGGGTGCGCGCGCATGGTATTTTTTGCAATGGATGGTCGTGGGTGGGGGTGTGGGGGGGGGCGACACCAGTTTGGCTGGGATGCTATGAGTTCACAGGTCGGATGGACATTGGGTCAGAAGTCTATATGTTTGACATCGGATCCCGGGGGGTGGTAAAACCTGTTTTTTTGCTTGCGGAAAGGTGAATTCATTTTCCGAACTTGGAGTTGTCAACTCCACTGCTCGCGCAATCATCCCGTCCACACACCCGCAATTCGGTTTTCAAAACCCATGCGGGAGCGATTGCGAGGTGCTGGGTGTTGGCTGGTGCATATTTGCAGCCGCGCTAGCCCGCGCATGCTCGCACGCGCAGCGGCCAGGTAGTTTGGCGCGACGGACGCGAACGCGGTGGCGCTGACCGCTCGGCACATCCCAGCGGGCACTTCACTGCGAGTCGGCGACTTGGGCGGGCGCGGTATCATGTCAACGTCGACAACGGTGGACACGTTGATGATAGTAGCGATGCTGGTGATGATGCTGACAGCGACGACGGGGCAGCCAGTGACGGCGCCGATGATGCTGATTGCGCCGACGACGATGAAGGCGTCTTCGCGTCGGTGATGAAAGTTTTGGAAAGAATTCGAAATGCGCGCGCGGCAGAGGCGCGAGAGTGGTTCGCATGGTATTATTTGACACGGACTGTGCCACCCCAGCGCGTGCGCGAAGGGCGTTCGAACGATTTCGACATGCGCGCGCGAAGTCCGTCTGGTAGCCTCCTATGAAGATGTTTCCAAACAAACAACGGATGGTTTTCCTAAGAATTCGCAAGAGCGCGCGAGCGCTTTTCTGGAACGTCCGTGTTGCGAAATTATAGCTGTATGTGTAGATATATAGTATTGAAAACACATTGGACACTCGATTTGGCATTCTTTCCGAAACCGATGGTTTTTGAATGATTTCGGCATGTGCGCGCGACGACGCGCGCGTGCGCCTTTCGTCAAAGGTTTACAAGGGGTTTTTGAAAACGTTGAATTTTGATAAACGAGTATGCGCGCATAATTTTGTTTGTAAGGGAACCCATGGGGGGCGATACCGTTTTAGCTGGGGTACTACGAACTCGCGGGTAGGATGGACATTGGGTCTGAAACTTATGTGTTTTGCATACGGTCCCGGGGAGTTGATTCGTCCTGTGCGGGGGGAGGGTGGTAGAACATATTTCGTTTTACGAATGAGAATATGCGTGGTGCAGTACATGTTGCGCAATGTCGACGGCAGCGGGGCGGCGACGGCGAAGACAATAACCGCCGGACCGCCACCCCGGCACAGACGACGGGTGGCGACAAGGCTGGAACGGCGATTACATAGCCGCCAAACCGACCGTCATGCCTGGAGGGCGGGCAGCGACAATGCGGCGACTGGGCGGCGATGGCGACTGTACAGCCGCCAGACCGGCCGTTAGGCCCAGTTCTTTCGAGGTCACATGAGAACCCGTGAGCGCAAATGCTTTTTGGGAACAAGCATGAACGGGTTCCCCACGGCGGTGTGTCATTGATGCTGTTCTTGCTCTCCCATCTCCTCCGCGTCTGAAGAAGTCAGGGCCGGCGGCGACCGTTGCAACAACAACAACAACAAGAGCACATTCAGGGTTGATCGCTTCAAAAAACTCCCAGAAGAGTTCAACAAAAAAACAGAAACTCCCGGAGTCTTGCGAAGCCTGCCCGAAGACCCCCGAAGGCCGCCAAATGAGCGACGGTAAAGAACGGGGTCGTCTGCGCGGACGTTCGCGCGTGAGTCTCCTGCGCAATGTCGCGCGTGAGCGCCCTCCTCACGCAGTGTGCCACACTGGCGGCCCGCGCAAGCTGAAGCGCAAGGTCGGCATGCCTTCTCGCGTACGACTCGTTTCGTGTCGCTGCTCAACGTACGGAGCCTTGCCGGTGGCACGGTCCGCGCTCGAGTGTTTCACCTTGGCGGGTGATCCCGCTCGGCATGTCCCGCCGGCCTCTTGTTCGGCAGGACCCCGAGCTCCGGGGCATCATCCCGCGCATGAACGACGCCCTTTTCGAGCGCATCGGGAAGGAGCAGGCTCCCTTCTCCTCCTCATCGTCCCCCACGAGCCTCGAGGTCAGGGGAGGAGAAGGTACAGGTACCGCTGCTCGTCCTGGAGAGCCTTCGTCGACACGGCTGGAGTCTCCTCGAAGTCCTGGTCAGAATTCATCTCAGGAGAGGTTCGTGGAGTAGCGGTGTCGATAGCTGTGCGCTGCGGTGTCGGACTCCCCCGCTGGGGCTCACTTGACCGCAGACATCCTCCGAACCCTTCGGCTCCAGGCCGTTGTTCAGCAGTCTGACCTGCAGGGGTAGGGTTCACATGCGGTCGCCTGCCACACCCACCGTTCCTCAGGGGCAATGTTCGGGGGGATGGCTCCGGGGGGGTAGCATCGGCCCCCAGCCGCCCATTCATCGCCGATAGGGCCCCGATAGCTCACCCCGCCCTGGAACATGTATCGCCGATCTCTCGATCCGGTCCAGCTCGATGCTTCCCCCCTGAGCTGGTGCCCCCGATCGTTCCCCCTCAGTAAGAACCCTTTCGCTTCGCCGTTCAGTTGACGTTCAGCTCGTCGTCTCAGCCTCCCCCCTCCCCCTTCTTCTTCCGTGGGACTCCGGAGGTTTCTGGAGCTCCCTGGACGTCTCTGGAGCCCTTTGAAGGCCTCCGCAGGCCCCAAGCTGCCAGTCTCTCCAACGTTCCCTCTCAGTTCCTTTCAGCCCCAGGACATGGCCAGGGTGGATTCGGGCGGGGCTAGGGCCGGAATAAATCGCTCCCGAGTGTTCCAGAACGTTTTGAGAGCGTTCTGGAGCGAGCGCGACGCCCGATCCAGCCTCCAGAACCGCTGGATCTCAGGGATTCCCGACTCATCCTGCTCGGAGTTTGTCCCAGTCCTGGCTTCGTCTTGTGGATGCGGACGTGTCGTTTGGTTCCCCCCAAAGGGTCTGGTGAACACACCGCGTGGTGAGTCGGTGGGGATTCGGGGTCGCCGCACGGTTTCTGGGACTTGAGCGGGTTTGGTCCCCAAGCCGTGTTGTGACGGACCGCGCGGTGAGGTCCTTTGGGGATTTCAGGGTCGCCGCGCGCTTGGCTTCCACACGGTTTGGGGGCTCCCAGGTTGTGGCGGCGGGATCATGGGGTCCTCGAGCTCCACCTAGTCGACGGGCCGTCTCCGTCCTTGCTGGTCCTCGGCTTCTTGTTCGTTCCGTTCTGCCGATCGGTCGCTCGCCTTATTGTCCATTTGCCGGGCGCTCTGGCCGAGCCAGGGGGGCGCGTGTGCACCGCTCCTTGGGCCAGGATGGGCCTGGCCAGTAGCGGTGCAATCTCGTCGCCCTGTCTCCCCTCGGCGGCGAGCGAGGGGGGGAAGTGAGGAGGAGAAGAAGTCCTTGTCAGAAGGCGGCGGGACTTCTCAGAAGCCCTCGCGCCTTCTGAGAGGTTTGCTGTGCCTTCGCGGAAGACTTGGGGAACTTCTCAAAAGGCGGGAGGACTTCCGGGGCTTCTGAGAAGGCCTTCTCCCTCGCACTTCCCCTCCGGGCTCGCCGCCGAATTATGCAATCTTGTCGCTCTATCTCCCCAGTCGGTATTGTTGGTCTCGTCGATCGAGTTCTATTTCCGCGGTCTGGTTTTTCGATCCACCTCCGCTTCGTCTTTCCTCCCCGCGCGGATGTACCGTGCCCTCTGCTTCGTTCGTTGGTGCTTTCCTCCCCAGAACGAGGGAACCCATTTTTGTTCAGGGTTCACGGCCACAATCTGCTGCTAGGGATACGCGCCACAGTACTTCTCATCAACGGCAGCACGCTGACAAGTGACGACAGCGTTTCTTTCCGATGGCTTGTGTGGTCCCGTAGCTTGAAGCTCTCTCGTTATCGGGGCCTCTCGCTTGACCGGCCTAGCGGCCCGTGCGACAGGTTGGCACCCGGAAGTTCTTGGTGATGTGTTCGTACTTCGAGATATACAACGAGATCCACCGGGCTATCGCCAAGAGTACCGCTGCGCCAAGATGGGGGCTCAGTGGAAGGGAGGCAGGATGTTCTCTACATTGTCAGAATGATCACTGCAAGCACGAGGTTGACCACAGCGCATGTTTATTTCAAGGAGGGTTGGAGATTTCGGTAACCGTGCGCGCCTCACTTTTTTTTACCTGCGCGAGAGGTCGCCCCGTGGCTAGGAAGAGAGGAAAGCAGAAGGGGGAGTCGAGAAGAGGAAAGGCGAAAGCAGCAGCAGCAGCAGCAGCAGCAGCAGCAGCAGCAGCAGCAAGCACCCCAGGCGCGGCCACGGCCGGCCTCACAGCGCGCCCCGGCTTTGCGGGACTCGCGCGCTCCCCGCGCGGCCGGAGAAACCGACGCCGCGCAGCCGCCTCCCGCTATGGGACGCGCGCGCGCCGCCTCGACTCAAGGGCGAGCAGCGCCGCCGGCCCGAGGGCGGCCGGGTCCTCCGCCGCCGCCTGGAGTTGTTGGAGCACCGCTCCCTGCGCTGAGGTTGGCCAGGCCAGCCTCTGCCCAGAGGCGCGCTGCGGTGGCTTCTGGGGCGCCCCCGCCGGCAGCTGGAGTATACCGTCGCTGCCGGGTGCGCCCGCCGCGGTGGCCCCGCGGGCCGCCTCGCCTCCGGCAGCCGGGCCGCCGCCAGCACCAGCTGGCCCTGCGGGCCGATTCGCCGCCCGCGCAGCCCCGCCCGCCGCCGCGCAGCCGGCCGCCGCCAAGGCCGGCGAGTCGCCACCCTGGCCGCCGCAGCGGCCACGCCCGCGCTGGCGGCGGCGCGGCGCCGAGCTTCCGCAGCCGGTCTCCCCATCGCTGCTGGCGTCCCCGCCTGGCTCGGTTGCGCGGCCTGCGACTGCGGCGCCGCCCGCGCGCGGCGGAGCGTTTTCGGTGTCCGGAAACGGTCTTGCCGCAGCAGCGCGGGCGTCATTTTCAGAAAGGCGTTTTGCCCCCCCCCTCCCCCCCCCACCCCCACCCGCCCTCCCCCCCCCCCACCCCCCCACCCCACCCCATCGATCAGAATTGCGCTCTCGCTCCAGCGCGGGCATTTTTTTTGATCCGAGTCCTTCCTCATCGTTGTCGCCCATTTCTTTTCCCTCTTCCGCCTTGTCCTAGTCCTCCTGTACCTCCCGCGCTGTCCTTCACCTGCTGCTGCTGCTGCTGTTTGTCCTCGGCCTCCTCCTTTCCCTCCGCCTTCACCCCTTCTCATCCGCCACCTCCTCCTCCTCCTCCTCTTCCAAAGTACGCAGCTCTGTCTTTCCGACTCCGTATGACACGATGTGGTCCTTGCTGGAATTTCGGATCCGCTGTGACACGCGTCCGCGGGAAGGGATGGGTGGGAGTGGTGGGATGTCAAATATGGCGCGAGCGCACCTAGTGTGTCCTCCAACTCCTTTGTCTCTTCCCCGGTGGGCAGGAGAAGGGACAGAAGAAATGGAGGGATGGGGGCGGGGGAGGAGGGCCGCGAGAGCCACCTGCCAGGAGGCCTCGCGATTCGGCGCTTGTACGCCGTGGTGTCCCTGATGGGGGCCCGGCAGGATCATCTTCGACCTGCTCAACCCAGTGTCCGACAAGGGCAAGTTGGGCGGGGGTCTGCAGATCAAGGACTCAGACCTTGAAATGAAAATCGGAACGCAATCACTTTCTCAGGGAGTTGTGTTTTCGTGAAAGGGGTGTCTCGGGGGACGGGTTGTGTTATCTATGAGTCGCCTTTACGTTCTCTGGGCGCAGGCGCCAGGGCAGGACGTCCGCGGAGCCACGGCAAGTCGTCCGTGCCCTCCCACTTGGGCATTTATGGCCCCCCCCGGCCTACGGGCAAGGCGCCGAAATAAGTACCGGTTTTGGTTTGGGAGGGGCTCGGGTTTTCTGACCGCTCCTTAGATTGAAGTCGGGCGTGTCCATCTACAGGGGGAATCCTCAAAGATAGTCAAACAATAGTCTGGGGACGATGTTTTTGTTTTTTTGGTAAAACAAACAAGCAAAAACATGTTCGTCCAAAATTTGCCTGTAGGGGGACACGCCCGACCTAACCTTAGATCCATGCCGTGGAACCTGCTTTGGCCCCCCCGTGGCCAGAAAGCCCAACTCGTCCCTTTCTGTTTGTAGGCGTTCTGTGTGGCACCTCCCGCGGAGGTCCGCGCGGGGACATTCTCCGGAGGAGCGCTGGACCATCCAGGGGCGCACGTCCGCGCGCCGGGGAGGGGGGCAGTATCGTTTAGCCGATCCCTATCCCCGTCCTCGTCCCCATCTCGACCCCACCATCTCACCACCCTACAGGTGGAGGCTCATGCCAAGAGACACCCTGCTTGCCTCCAGGGTGCCCTGGGTTTCGTAGTTTTGCTGTGGAGGGCGTGACGTTCCCACACCAAAAATCAATGGACGTCCTGGGATCTCAGGGTTGGGTTTCTTGTGGAAGGTTTCTTGCAGACTGACCTCCACTGTCAGTTAGTTGGGGATATACCCCTCGAAGCCCGAAGGGGACAGGACAGCCTATATCCACATCTGGGGGGGTAGATCGGCCAGTGTGGCCAAGGCTGGGGTCCAGTGCCGATCCAGCAACTCGCGTTCGCTTCGGAAAGAGCGTGCGCATGATTTCCCGGAGCTCCGCGCGGATCTCTTGGATTGGCGTTGGGCCACCCTGGTGGCGCCTTCGGCGCCGCCCCGTGGCGCACCCCGCGCGCCAGGGACGGGGGCCAGCGCCGGTCCGAAGAAATTCACGCAGAGTTCTGACAGTTTGTGTTTATGCTTCGTCTGTTTGATGTAAAGGCCTGGATGATGTCAGGACGCCTTCAGCGTTGGGGGGCCGTCAAGAAGCGACGCCAGGTGCTCCAAGTAAAGTGGGGGCATGAAATCCACTGTGTGTGGTTAGGGGTTCCCCCAAGTGTGTGCACGTTTGTCTGCCCCAACAGAGCAGCACCGTGCAGCGCTAGGCCATCAGGTGTCTAGCGGTTACCACTGCAGCGACGAACACTTTGCACCCACTCCTGTAGGTGTGTCGTGTGCAGGGCTACGGTTCTGTGCGCGGGGTGTCCAACAGTCTCAGCACTCGTGGTACAATTCGCCAAAACGATAGGCTTCTGATTCTGTACTCATTGCTTCCATGTCGGCGTAAAGAGGAGCCTGTCTTAGGGAAGGTGTTGAAACCTGCAGGGGGCACACAGTGGACATTTACGACGTGGGAGGTCTGGGGAGGGGCATTCGCCCACGGCGGGAGCCGTGATGCTGTGTGCCCGGGCGCCGGCGAGGATCCAAAGCAGTGCCGTCGTCTGTCCTGCAAGTTCCGCACGGGGGTGCAGGTCCGTCTTGCCTCTATCGGGGAAGCGTCAGACTCGAGCACGCCGGACCTTGGGTTTGCCGACGTTTTTGGACGAGCGCGTCCTGGATTTTGGCGGCGCATTTCTTGTGGGATGTTTGCAGCGGGAGCTCGCGTCACATTTCAGAGTAGTCTCGCCATGTTTATGATGGCCCCGTCGGGCCAACCCGAGTTCCCTGCAACCCGAGTCTTCTGTCACCCCGACTTTTGTCGGAATTTACAGTCAACTCGCCTAGTAAGGACGCGCGCCTTCATCTAGGGTACCCTTGTGCCCTTGCCTCTGAGGCCCGTCCTTGCCATTAGCACTGGTCGCCCGCCGCCCCAAAAAACCCCACTTCGGCCTCCAAGGGTCTTGCGTCCTTATCACCCGTCCTTACTGTGTACGTTTTCACTGTAGTGTGCGGTGTCGAAAGCTCTGCCGGGCGACGCTCCACGCGGTGCCCCCTCGCGGCGCGGTGCCCCTGGCGGCACTGGGGCCCCCTCGGGGCCCCCGTCGCTCGTGGGCCGGGCCTTTGCGGCCAGGCGTATCCGTGTCCGCGGCCGCGCGTGCCAGGCCGCCGGGCCGCGAGCGCTCGGCTGCGGGGGCGTTTTGTTGGCGGGTGCCCCGCGCGGGGCGCAGCCCTGCGACTGCGCATCCGCGAGGTCGCGCCCCGGGATCCGGAGCGCGAGGGCGCGGCCAGGGACATGTGTTTGCCGCTCGCGGTTCGCGCAGAGAGACCGACCAGCAGTGACGAGCAGGGAAGCGATGGCACGGCGCCTGCCAGTCTTGTGCGGCGTCTCATGCTCAGCCTTGCTGAGGCAGCTGGCGTGCGAGGAGGGGAGGGATCCTTTAGCAAATCATGGGAGGCTTGTGTACCTTCGTAATTCCATTCTCAGTGCGCGCTAGCGTCGATGAGGGTCTGGTACTCGATGAGATAGCGCCGATAGAGCGTCGAAAAATCCCGATGAACGTAGACTGACGGTCGATTGGCGTTGATATGCGTCGCTTCGCAAGAGCCAACAAGATTGCATGGGAGGCTCCCACGACTTGCCGGAGAGGAGGGAGGGAGGGAAGGTTGGAGGGAGCGAGTGGGGCAGGGAGCGAGCGCGCCAAGGCGCGAAGAGCCACCGAAACATGCGATCTCGCGGCAAGCTGGTCTCGGTGTGCGTGGTGCAGCGTTCGCCTTCGCACACACAAGCCTCCAGCCTCGGCCGTGGGCGCAGCATCGGCGAGGGGGCCCGTGGGCTGGAGAGGTTATCGTTGTCTTATTCATTGTTTCGCCGATCGGCGCGGGCCCTCGCACCCCCTCTCCCCCCCTGGAGTAGGTCTTGGCTGTTTTTGGCGCCTGTTTCAAGCAGGTGGGGCCTCCCCAGTAGGACGCAATGTTGCAAGCAGTCGCATGAAGCCGAGGTCCAGAGCCAGGCCCCCTCCCCTCCCGCCCAATGTCGAAACGCCGAATAAGAAATCGCTCACGAGAAGGGACTGGAGGGAGGGACGGGGAGGGAGGGGTGTACAGGGCCCAAACATATACACCACCACCACCTCCCTTACCCCCTCCCTCTCCCAGGACAGAGGAGAGGAAGAGGAGGGTAGAGGAGGGAGGAGGAATCGACGTGGTGGTGGTGTACATCCTTGTGGCCCGCAGGGTGGGAGGCGAGGGAAGGTACGTCGAAGGGAGAACATCACCACCCAACAAACCACCCCAACCCCACCCGAAGGCTCCACTCTGCCCGCCATTCCCAGTGTGTGGGGGGGGGTCGGGGCACAGTCGGAAAACACACATACGAAGCCGGTACCCCCCGCAAGCCGAAATTCGGGTCTTTGGGTTGGGTTGGGGTTGTCTGGTAGGTAATTAGTCAGAAAGTAGCATCGTCCAACCGATCCCCACTCCCGCTGACCCATGGCATTTCAGCGCCACCAGCCCCACTCCCCAGGTGTGGATGGTTCCCGCGAAACCCGAAGCTAGCAGCAGATTACACCAGAGAAAAACCCCAATCAGTGGATGGTCATGAAACACCAGAGAAAATTCAATCTCACAATCGATCTCAATATCCATATCACGGACATGGATCTTGAGATCGATTGTGAGATCGACAGTGGAATCGATAGTGAGGACGATTGTATAGTCGATCGTGAGACCGATAGTGAAGTCGATTCAATGAGATCGATAATGAGATCGAGCGGGAGATCGCTCGTGCGATCTATAGTTAGATCGATTATGAGATCGATTGTGAGATCGATAATCAGATCGATAGCGCGGTGGGTAATGAGATCGATGGTGGGACCGATCGATAAGAAGATCGACCAGGAAAACGGGAACCCGGGAACCCCGCCGCCCACCGAAATCGGCCGGGAACCCGGAACCGGGAACCCGGGAACCCGGAACCAGGAACGGGGGAACCCGGCTTGTTACCAAAATCGGCGGGATTTTTTCGCCAAATCCTTCAATGTCTGCGAGGACCCTTTCAGTGCAAGCACTGATTGGGGAACAAACCTCACCTAGGAGGGGTAAGGCGGCCAGCGCCAAGGCCGCCATAGTGGGGATGGAGATCGATTCAGCGATGCTCCTTGGAGGGAGGGAGGGAGCGACGGTCGATGAGGGTGATGCTTAGGGACTGCGGGGGGGGGGATCTCGTGTCCAGGGCCATGGTGTTAAGTCGGGCCTGTCCCCCGTCAGGGGGATTTTCGACGAAAAATAAAAAGTACCCCCAAAATAGTCCAAAAATCGTCTGGGAACTATTTTTTGAGTATTTCTTTACCTTTTTGGAAAATGGGGTCTTTTTCATTTTTCGTCGAAAATCCCCCTGTATGGGGGACACGCCCGACATAACCACGGTGTCTCTCCAGATTCTGTTGGCCCTCGTCTTGTCTTGGCGCGTCCCCCTGGGCCCCTGGGCTGCGCACGTGCCTCGGGCCACGACCGGCGCCCCCCCCTCTTGCACGCCCCCCTCCTTGGCCGCCCCCGTTACGGAGGCGCAGAGTGGCAGATTCTTGGGCAGGGTTATGTCGGGCCTGTCCCCCTACAGGGGGATTTTCGACGAAAAATAAAAAATACTCCAAAATGCCCCAATTTGGTATTGTTGAAGTATTTTTGGGTTTTTCTAATTTTCCGTGGAAAATGTCCCTGTAGGGGGACAGGCCCGACTTAAGGGTAGGGGGGGTTCGTTAGGGCCGTGCGGTAGTTTCGATGATCCTCGTGTCGTGCGTTTGCCGAATGTGTGTGTGTGTGTGTGTGTGTGTGTTTTACCCCATTCTGCTCCGCTGGTAGCACGCAGCTGGTGTTGGCCCCCATTACGCTGCCCGATTCGCATCGAGGTGTTTCGGTGGCTCAGGACACGTTGCCAGCAATGGTTCTGGGGATGACCAATGAGCAGACGTGAAACGATTTTCAGACGTGAAACATTCAAATGGGGTGTATAGTATCAGAAAGACGTGTGCAGCCATTCGATACTATCAGGGTGCTAAGGGTGAGCTGTTCGGGTTCGAAGGGGATCGGGGACCCAGAGCATATGGTACGATTGCGTTATTCGAGTCGAACGTTGGGGGTACAGCACTGCATTCGGGTACTTTCCCGGGGACTGGGCTGTAGCATGGTAAGGATGATGGGCGGGTACGTCTTGTGAGATCGCGGTGCGCGGAAACTGCGCGTGAGCGTATGGGGCTGTTCTGGGTGTCCGCTGATCCCCGACATGTGGTGTCTCGACCTTCTCGAGGCACGGGCTCTCGACGTCTCGACCACCTCCCGTGGCCCGGAGTTCTGTCCGAGCCGTTCCTTGGCAGCCCGTGGGGCCCGTGGCCAGCCTCCGCAGGCCCACACTGGCGAAAGCATTGGCCGTCCGTGTTGCGAAGGCTTCACGGTGCCTCTGACCCGGAAGGCGGGATCTCCCCCCGGGACCCTTGCTGGCGACTCCCCCCCCAGACCCGCGGGGACCCCGGGGGATGCGGTATCCTGACCCTGGACCCCCTGCCTTCTACCCCTCCCCAACCAGCCCCCCCCATGCCCCCCCCTCGCAGGGAAGGGAAGGGAATCGTCTTAAGTACGACGTGCCTTTCCCTTGTTTCTCAGTTTCCCTGGGACGGACGACGACGACGACGACGACGACGACGACGACGACGACGACGACGACGACGACGACGACGACGACGACGACGACGACGACGACGACGACGACGATGGAAACGGAAAAGGGTTTCACACACGCCGAATGGTCGGCGGGTTTCTTCGAGACGCCAGATGCCGGCGATCAGCCGCTCAAGATCCCAGCTGGTCGATCGGCTGGTCAGCTTGGCCTGCGAATTGGCTGGCCGATCTGTTGGGCCGGCCAACCAGCCGCCTCGGCTGGCCTGACCGATGGGCCGGTCGACCCTCCTCCTCCCCGGCAGTCCGGCCAGCTCGAGGGCCGCCTTCTGTCGGAGGAGGAAGAGGTACCCATACCTCTACCCTGAGCCCGTTGCCCGCTTGTCGGGCCTCCTGGGCCGCCGTCGTCGCCACCGCTGCATTCGCCTCGAAATTCTGGTCAGAACGCACCCTGGGAGAGGTCTGGGGAGTAGCGGTATCGGTCCCTTTCGCTCTCCCCAGTTCCTGTACGGGGGATCAGGCTAGCCCACAAGATCAGCGTCGTTTAACAGACCCCTCTCCCCATCCCCATCCCATCCAGACTCCCACCATTCTCAGCGCCCCAAATTCTCCAAGCCCGAAGGAAACAGCTCCGTTATATCCCTATCTAGGGGGTAAATCGGCCAGTGAGGCCCAGGCCACGTCCATGGGGATTTGGGTCGGTTGATTGATGCTCAAGACCCTGAGCCCTGAGATCCGACCTCTCGAGCAAAAATGGAGATCTCGGGAGATCACAACTGGAACCCCGGACCCCATCTTCCTGCGCCATTTCTCGAGCCGGATCCATCTGTGAGGGTCCTGGGTCCCGAAGTTGGGCGGAAACGTCCGGCTCGAAAAAATGGAGTCGCCAGGATCTCATGAGGGGCAACGATAGGGGGGGATATGCATAGAGGGGAAACATCGACTTGGAATCGGCGATACATTGCCGATAGATCGGCGACAGGCCCCCGATAGTGAATCTGCACATTCCTGGGCAGCTTGGGGCTATCAGGCCCCTATCCGCGATCAATGGGCGATTGGGGGTCGATGCATCCCCCCCTAATTATGCCGATCCCCCCAGATCGTTGCCCCTGATCTCAGGGGATGTTGCGGGATCTTGCCGACGTCGGTCGGCTGGTCAGCCCAGCTGGCCGATCGGCCAGCCGGTCTGACCTGCGGGCCGACCCGCCGCGGCGGCTGGCTGGCCGATCGGCCATCCCCCTCGCCGCACTGCCACTAAGATTGTGATGCGAAGCCAGCACGAGGATTGAAGAGGAGGAGGAGGAGGAGGAGGAGGAGGAGGAGGAGGAGGAGGAGGAGGAGGAGGAGGAGGAGGGGGATAGGACGGGGGGGGGGGGGGAGGAGAGGAGGAGGAGGAGGAGGAGGACGGGGATAGGACGAGGAGTTAAATCCGCTCCAGAGCGTGGCGGAACGCTCTCGGTGCGTTCTGGGACGCTTTGGGAAGGCCGCGGCGCCCGAGACTCCCTCCAGATCCGTCGGATCTCAGAGATTTTCGATTGGTCCTCACCCGATGTTATCCTTCGTCTTGGCTTGGAGGAGGGGAGGAGGAGGAGGAGGAGGAGGAGGAGGAGGAGCAGGAGGAGGAGGAGGAGAAGGGATAGTGGGGGAGTGGGCAATGTCGAGGAGCAACGCTGAGGCCAGGAATTAGTTCTCACACGCTTTCGTCGGTCACCAGCGGTTTTCCAGCCTTGCGAATTCTTTCAGCAGCTGCGCCTCGCCGGCAGGTTCGTCCAGGGGTGCCCAGGCCGCTCGGGGCCCGCCGGAGACCCGAGTCCTGACCCGAAACAACGGACGACGAGGATCCCTGGGGGGGCTAGGCTCAGGGGGTGGGGATTTATCGACCCCCAGGCGCCCAATGATCGCTGACAGGGGCCCGATAGTCTACCCCGCTCAGGAACGCGCGGCTTCGCTGTCGTGGAAGCGTCGCTGGTCTATGGGCGATGTACCGCCGACTCCAAGTCGATTTCTCCCTTGCTGAGCCAGTCCCGCTTTATGTGTGCCGTCAATCAGGCAAGTCTAAGACTTGGGATCGTTCGGTCGTGTGCCTTCTTTTCTCGACCAGGACCATCGAGGAATATCTGGATCATCTTGCGAACAAACAGAAACACGCACGAGATTGAAAGATGCACGTGGAATGGACGCCCGAGCGATGGCAAGAGGTGGAAAATCTTACGCCATGGCGGCGGAAGACCCTACTCAGCACAATGGAACAGTCAGAAGAGCATGGCACTGAACTGCACACAAAACGAGACCTTACAGGATATCATACGGGATAACTTACAGGAAACCATACAGTCACTGCGCCTAGTAAGGACGCGCGCCTTTATCTAGGGTACCCTTGTACCCTTGCCTCTGCGGTCCGTCCTTTGCTGTCTTCATCGGTCGCCCGCTGCCCAAAACATCCCAATGTCGGCCTTCAAGGGTCTTGCGCCCGCCGCCCAACAAAATCCCAACTTCGGCCTCCAAGGGTCTTGCGCCCGCCCGTTTCCCAAAAAATCTAAATTTCTGCCTCCAGGGGTCTTGCGCCCGCCGCCCACAAAGTCCCAACTTCGGCCTCCAAGGGTCTCGCGTCCTTGCCACCCGTCCTCAGTACGGCAGGTTCGCGTCGTGTCGACCGGTGGCGACCCCAGCGCGTGCGTTTAAGGTTGAACGCCGCCCGTGGCCCAGAATCGGCACGTCGTTGAACGATCTGGCGTTAGTGGAAAGCCGATCGTTCAAGTTTGAACGATCCCCGCGGTGTCAGGAACCAACGCCAGGGTCGACACGACGCGAACCTGTCGTACACGCTTTGACTGTACCTGGAGACCCTGCTGCAGGCCCCGCGAGAGGGGAGAGCAGACGGCAGAGCACGGGCGACGAGCCACCGACTCCCGGTCTGGAGGATCTCACACGTGCCTCGAAGAGGTACAGTGGAGGCCAGCCCACAAGAAACCGTCCACAAGAAACCCAACCCTGGGACCCCAGGACGTCCATCGATTTTTATCGTGGGGACGTCGCTGCTTCCATAGCAAAAAGCACTCGAAACCCCAGAAACCCAGGGCACCCTGGAGGCAGGCAGGGTCTTTCTTGGCATGGGCCCCCACTGTATACCTCGGGACCCTTACGCACGAGTCCTTTCGGGTGCAGACCGCTTCGGGACGCTGCGGAGCGCCCTCGGGGCGCTCTGGGACGCCCTGGGTCGGCCGCGGCGCCCGATACCTCATGCAGATCCGCCAGCTCTTCCAGTGATTCTCGATTCGCCTCTTCGCGATGGTACCTCCCTCCTGCCGTCGTCTTGGGGGAGCATGCCGTCGTGGCCCTCCTGCGGCGCCCGTGGAGCGGCGGGGGTCCGCAGCCTTCGTGGCCCAGTCCTCCGCAGGCCCAGCCCTGCGGCCCCCAGAGAAAGTCGGCGCGGCCATGCGTCCGAGCTGAGCATATGGACGCCCGAGCCGTGCGCGCCCACATCTGCCTCTCCCTGGCGGTGTCGGTACTGCGCGCGGGCGTGGCCTCGGCGGGGGAGCCCGCGCGCTCCGTCGTCGAAGAGCATGCCCCGGAGCCCCCCCCGCCCGGCGCCCTGATGAGGCGCCAGGGCGCTCCAGCGCCCGAGGCTGGGCCAGCCCGGGCCAGCATCAGCCCGCACGGGAGGCTCTCCCTGGCCACGGGCGCCTTCGGCTGGACGCCCCTGCGGGCTCCGGCGCCGCGCGGCGCCGCGGAGGAGCCCTCGGCCGCACAGGTGCTTACCAGCCTCGAACGTATCCCTATCCCTAAGACTGACACGCCAAAAGGCGATGACAATCTTAGGGATTCGCCCTCAAGAAATAAGGGAATCCCTAAGATTGGCATCGTGATGAGGAGGTGCCCAGCATAGGGATAGGGATATGTTCCAGGCTGGTAAGGTGCGAGCAGACGGGAGCCTGGTGCGGCTGGAGCCCGGGGGCACGCCCCCCGCGGCGAGGCCTCCGGAGACAGACGCAGACGCCCCTGCCGTGAGCGAGGTGCAGGAGGGGGGCGAGGAGGCGGCGAGGCTGGAGCGCGAGACGGCCGATGCGGGCGCCGATACCAGCAGCGATGAAGAGGGGGAGGAGGAGGGGGAGGAGGAGGAGGACGAGGAGGATGATCATGAGAATGTCAGCTCTTTGAGTGAAGAAGATGAGGACGAAGAAGAGGACGAGGAAGCAGAAGAGCTGGAGCCTGGAGCGTACGGCAGCAACGGGAGTCTCGAGCAGCTGGAACCCAGGGACACATCCCTTGCCAAGAGGGCCCCAGAAGTGGACGCTCGAGCCAGAACCGGGGCGCTGGAGAAGTACAACGAGACGGGAAAGCTGAGGCCTGGTGCCGAAGCAGCTTCTCATGCTAGAAGCGGTGAGGACGAAGAGGTCAGCATCGTCAAACCTGTCCCCATCCCCACTGGGACATTCTATCTCAGCCTCACAAGCCCACCTTCCTAGGTGGGGATAGATCCTCGAAGCCCGAAAGAACTGGCACATGTCTCCACCTAGGTGGGTAAGCCAGTGGGGATCAGGATCGGTTACACGATGATCACGAGGACCATGAGGAGGGTGAGGAGGCAGAGGAGGAAGAGGAGGAGGAGGACGAGGCGGACAAGCTGGAGGGACGCCGCCGTCGCCGGCGGCGCTGGGTGCCGCGCCGGCGGCGACGGCGGCGCTGGGTGCCGCGCCGGCGGCGGAGGACGCCTCGACCGACGCCACGCCCGACGCCACGACCGACGCCTCGACCGACACCGTCGCCGACGCCACGACCGACGCCTCGACCGACACCGTCGCCGACGCCGCGGCCGACGCCTCGACCGACACCGTCGCCGACGCCGCGGCCGACGCCGCGGCCGACTCCGCGTCCGACGCCACGACCGACGCCGCAGCCGACGCCGTCGCCGACGCCCGCCCCCACGCCAGCGCCGACACCTTCGCCGATGGACAGGGCAGTGGTGGTTCGCGCAGGGAATCTCACCGCCAACGGCATCAGCGCCAACGCCAGCGCCCCAGCGGTGGTGGCTCCTGCATGGAACGTCACGGTGCCGCTGGCGCGGGTCGCCAACGTCAGCGCCCCCGCAGTGGTGGCTCCAACATGGAACGTTACGGCGCCGACGACGCCGGCCGCCAACCGCACCGAAGCCGCAGCGAACGCCATGGCGACCCCGACCATGCCCACCAGCGGCTCCAGCGCCAATGGCAGTGCCCCCGCGGTGGTGGTTCCCGCAGGGAACTTTACGGCGCCGCCGCCGCAGGCTGCCAACGGCACCAGCGCCACTGTCAGCGCCCCCGCGGTGGTGGCTTCTGCAGGGAACTTTACGGCGCCGCCGCCGCCGGCCGCCAACGGCACCAGCGCCACCGTCAGCGCCCCCGCGGTGGTGGTTCCCGCAGGGAACTTTACGGCGCCGCCGCCGCCGGCCGCCAACGGCACCAGCGCCACCGTCAGCGCCCCCGCTGTGGTGGCTTCTGCAGGGAACTTTACGGCGCCGCCGCCGCCGGCCGCCAACGGCACCAGCGCCACCGTCAGCGCCCCCGCGGTGGTGGCTTCTGCAGGGAACTTTACGGCGCCGCCGCCGCCTGCAGGGAACTTTACGGCGCCGCCGCCGCCGGCCGCCAACGGCACCAGCGCCACCGTCAGCGCCCCCGCGGTGGTGGCTTCTGCAGGGAACTTTACGCCGCCGCCGCCGCCGGCCGCCACCGGCACCAGCGCCAACGTCAGCGCCCCCGCGGTGGTGGCTCCTGCAGGGAATTTTACGCCGCCGCCGCCGCCGGCCGCCACCGGCACCGCCGCAGGGAACGTTTCGGCGCCGCCGACCGTGTCCGCCGCTGGCACTGCTGCCGCAGGCTCCGCCACGGCGCCGCCTGCGCCGCCCTCCATGGGCACCGGGGCTGCTGCAGGGAGTGCCGCGGCTCCGCCGACACCGGCCGCCAACGGTACCGGGGCTGCCGTCCCAGCCGCGCCGCTGGCCAGCGCCCCCAATGCCTCCAGCAGTGCGAGCACAACGAACGGGAGCCAGGACCCGGTCTTGATGTCAAATTCAATTGCGATGTCGCCCTCGCTGTTCTATTGCCTCGATGTAGATGGTGCCTTCGTTGCTCACGATGGATGCTCTTCTGGGTGGCACTGGGGAGTGTTTTCGGCATGTCTCCAGCGGATGTCCTGGCCAGAGTGTTTGTTTTATCAACCCAGTTTTCCCATTCTGCGAACATTGCTTGCATCGAGGTTTCTTCCTTATGCTATCGGGAGTCGGACTTGTTTCTGGTGGTCGTGCCGCTGTTGCGTGGTTTTAGCCTCCTACGGCCTCCTGTGGCCTGCTTGTCGGTCGGGCCGTTGTTGCGTGGCCTGCTAGGGTCTTCAAAAGCTTGGATGTCAGGTCGGGCCGTTGTCGCGTGTCGTTGTTACAATTCTAAGACCTGTTTCTCATACGTGCTTGTTTTGAGTAGTTTCAGACTTTGCACCCCGCTTTTGCGGCAATGCGGGGTTGTGGTGATGGAGACTACGAAGGCGTTGGTGGCGACTTCAAAGATGATGGCGATGTCGAGTTCCCCCGAAGGCACCTGTCGACCATACCAAGGGAACGGTTACAATGGCAGTGTCGGGCACCCAGACCGAGCGTCTGCCCGTGATCAGAAAGGTCATCGCGCAGATGCTGAACATCTCTGAATCGGACCCTCATCTCACCGTTAAGGCTCGCGGTGGACATTAATTTCTACCCATTGGATTGCGTTCCCTGGCTTCAAAGTTAAAGCCTCCTTGCGACTTTTGGCTCTGAAGGCAGGGATACATGGCTAAGGTTTATTTGAATTTCTTCCTAGCAGGTGTCGGAGGCTCCTGGGGCGTCTCTCATTTGGCCGATGTGGGAGCAGAACTTATCCGACTTCAACGTCACCTATGAGTACGATACCACGTCCCGACAAGACGCCGAGCGTGTGCTAGAAGCCACAGGGTTGCAATCAGAGCGGGTGTCTACCCCTGCCACAACCTTTGGTGGATTGATCTTCATCAGGCCAGTGCTTGTCGGCTTCTCTTGGGCGTTCTCGGGTCCTGGGACGATCAGATGATAGCTCTGGGGCTCACGGCTTGGAACGATGAAGCTGCCCTAAGTCTGGGAGAGCCCAGGGGGGGGGTCGTGCCAGTTGTGGGGCCATAGTCCTTCCCCTGCGTTGGCCATGGGCTCTCACCCATTGGCCACGCGCTCCCATGGCCCAGCCACGCGTCTTGTAAGGTCATGTAAGCTCCACGACTTGGCAGCATTTTTAGGGAGCTCATCATGTTGGGGCTTAACATTGGGGGGTCGAGTCCCTGTGGCCTAGGACACCTGGTTGCAGGACAACGGGGGGTCCGTCCCGGAGCGAAATGAGAGGGCATGGCACAGAATTTAGGCCGATGGGAGGCCAGCCTTATGTTTTATCTCCTCTGGTTCCGCTGCTACCATCCCGAACCATTCCCTCACCTCTCAGGAGGGGAAAAACGCACAGACACTAATCATTGTCGATTCCTCAGAAATATGGAAACATGTGTGAAGTGGGGGGGAAGGTGAACATCAAGAGCATAGGATCCTGGGATTTGTGTCCATCTACTTGTGAGCCCCTGGGCTCCCTCGGTCTCATCCACGTCTGAGGAGCTGCTCCCTCTGCCGACCCTTTGGGGCCACGTGGTCGGGCCTTCCTGGGCCATCTCCCTGGGGAGCCTCGGGGCCTCCGGGGGGCTCCCTTGTGGATTGTCCCCGGCAAATCTTTGGTCTGTGTCGAGGCCTCTTCGGGCAGGGCCATGCGCAGGACGAGGATACATCCGTTTCAGAGCTTTCCAGAACGTTCTCAGAGCGTTCTGGAACGGTCTGAGAAGGCCGCGGCGCACGCGGTATCTTCCAGAGCTGCCGGATCTCAGGGATTCTCGATTTATCCTCACCCAAATTGATCCTCGTCCTCGCCTCGTCTTACCTCTGGAGGCTAATTGGGGGACCCGTGGGAGTATCTTGGGGCGGCCTGGCGCAATCTTGGGCGATGGTGGCGTCTTGGGGCCTCTTGAGACCACCTTGGAGCTCCACCGAAGTTGTCTGGCGGACTTGGGGGCTATCTCACTCTCTGCGCTTTTCACCTTTCTTCCAGTCCTCTAGTGCCAATAATCATACGAGACACCAGTGCTCCATGCGTCGGCAGGTAGCCTCCAGGAAGTCCCAGTAGGCCCATGATTTCCAGGGAGGCCCTGTGGAGGCCACCCGGTTACGCTCAAGCCACGCGACGGTTCGAGGTGGCCGAATCGGAATGGCGCTGGGGCCACCCAGTTTTGGAGATCCTGTGGCTCAGAGAAGGCTGCCCCCCCTCCAACTGACGAACCAACAACACACACCCATACCCATAGGGGGGTCGGAGAGGGCTATGGGTGCGTGTTGTCGGATGGGGGTCCTCGTTCGAGCGGGAGCGTTCCCCAGGGTCCGACAACCCGCACCCATACCCATAGCCAGTCCTCCTCCCAACGACCCCCCTCTGGGTATGGGTGTGTGTTGTTCGTTCGTCACCAACAGTTTTTCGTACAAGCTGAAGTTCCCCACACCGCGGCTGCATTTCTGCGACACCTTCTGGATGCGCTTCCCAGGTCTTCGCCACGCCGGCGCCCGTGCCCGCTCGTGGGCGCCCCGGGTGGCGCCCCGTGCGTCGGGCGGGCTTCCCGAGGCCTCGCCGCGCTTTTGGTGCCCGCGCCCGCGCGTGGGCGCCCCGTGGGGAGCTCCCCGTGCGCCTCCTGGTGGAGCTCCCCGGGCGCGGCCTCCGCGTGGCGCCCGCGGGCCCGCTCGGGGGCGCCCCGGGTGGCGCTCACGCCGCACAGCTCGGGGGCGGAAAAGAGGGGGGTGATGATTAGGGGTGGGTGGATATCATGGCGGGGGCCATGATATTTCCCCAGATTTCATGGCGCCTCCTCTTAATTCATTACGTCCCTGGCCCCCCCCCCCCCCGGTGGCGCTCACGCCGCACGCTGGAGGCCTGGAAATGGGCACCAACACCAAGACAGGGGGCTGCCTCCACAGGGGGGAGATGATCCTCGATTTCGGTGTTGGTGGTACTATTCCGGTCACCTTGGAAGCCAGAATAGTACCTCCATCGCCGAGATCAGGATCTTCTTCCCTCGGTGGAGGGACACCGCCGATATTGGTGTTGGTGTCAATCTTAGGGAAACCAAGCACAGCCGGCAACGCACAGCTTGCAACGCCCAGCGCGCAGCGCCTGAAGCTCCTGCCAGGGAGCTCACCGCCACCCAGCCTGCGCAGCACAGCTCGCGCCACATGGCTTGCACCGCACAGCTTCGATCGTCCAGCGCACACTGCAGAGCTCACACATCGCAACTCATGCCACGTAGCTCACCCCCTACGCATGTAGGCCGCACCATCCAGCTCAAACCACACAGTTTACACAACACAGCTTGCGCCATATGGCTTACACAAGACATAGTTCACCTCCACAGCGCAGTCATTCACAGCTTGGGGTCCGCGCTGGCTAACACTGTTCATTAGTTTTAGGACCACCTTTTGAAAGAGCCCCGCCCTGGTCGCATCAACGGAGGCCGGTCGAGCAATGAGCCGGAATCCCTCCGAGCTCCGCAGCGCGCTGTCGAAGGCGACCTCCGACGCCGGGCTGACCTTTGACAACAGCTCGCTGCACGTCTCCGAGCCCACGCTCGAGGATTCGCAATTGTCTGGCGGCGCGCAGAGGGGGGTAGGGGGAGGGGGGAAGGCTTCTTAGAAGCACCCCTGCTTCTTAGAAGGCGCGGGCCTTCTCTGTAGATGTAAGGCCAGCGCCTTCTAAGAAGCAGGGGTGCTTCTAAGAAGCCTTCCCCCCTCCCCCTACCCCCTTCTGCTCGCCGCCAAATTGTGCGTCAGGAGGAAAACAGGGCATCATTGACACGCCGCCGTCAGGAGTCCGTCAGTGCGCCGCTCCTTCGCTGCCGTCCGAAGGCTTGGCGTCTCCTGAAAAGTAGTGCGCTGGTGGGCTCCCCCCGGCTGCGTGCCGCTGATGCTGTTTCTGCTCCCCCACTGGGACAACCTTAGGAATATGTTTGGTGTGTGTGTGTGGGGGGGGCGAGAATCCCTTGACGTGCAGTCTTGCAGTCAAGACGCTCGGTGGAGGCTCCGTAGAGGCCTTCGCGTTCGGGGCCGCTCCTCGGACGTGGGTCGGGGAATGCCTTCGTGGCCGAGGCTCGCCGTGACCAGGAAGGCCTCCCCCGCTCCTCACCCGGCGTTCCCTGTGGTCGCCCTTCGGCTGCATGCGTTGCCGTGTGGAGCCCGCTGCGCGGAGCCCTGTCGTGCGGGGGCTCCCACGGCCCGTGTGACGGTGTCGGCTGGTGTCGCCTCGGGCTCCCGTGGTTGCGCGAGGCCCTCCTGCCTGGGCTCCAGTGTTCTTTCTTGCGGCGACTCCAGTGCTTCGATCGGCGGCGAGAAAGAGAGAAGACCCTCTCTGAAGGCAGCGCGGCTTCTCAGACGCCCTCGGGCCTTCTGAGAAGTTTCCAGTGCTTTCGGGGACGGCTCAGAAGTCGTCTCAGAAGACCGTGGGACTTCCGAGCCTTCTGAGAGGGCCCGCCCCCTCTCGCTTCCCCCCCGGGCTGGCCGTCGATTCGAGGCAGGCCATGATCACCGCTTGGGAGATCGATCTGCGGGCAATGTCTATATCCACATCCAGTGCGTCTTGGAGTTTCGGACTCTCTTCCCAAGAACCATGAGGCGCACTGGATATTGATTATAATCTGCCTCCCAAAGGCTCGATGTTTATCCATATCCAGTGCGCCTCGGCCTTGCGGCGCCCCTTCCAAGAGAGTCCAAGACGCAGTGGATATGGATAGAAATATTGCCCGCACGATCTTCTGCGTGGTGGGTATGGACCTGTCCATACCCGCCAGAGGCCAGGCTCGTGCTCGAGGGCCTCCGTTCGGTGGGCTCGCGTCGTGCCGACCAGCGGCGACCCCGCCGCTGGGCCTTGTCGTTGAGCACCGCCGGCGATCCGGAATCGGTCGATGTTGAACGATCTGACGCTCATTACCAGTTTGAAACATATCCCTATCCCTATGATTGACATCACCTCACCTCGAGGCCTATCCCTAAGATTGTCCTCGCCTATTGCTCGCCCATCTTAGGGAAAGGGATAACTTCGAGGCTGGTTAGCTCATCAAAGTTGAACGATCCCCGCGGTGTCAGGAACCAACGCCGAGGTCGCCACAGTGCAAAGCCGCTGCGCGCGTGGGCTCGTGCTCGACTGGCGGGCCTCTTCGAGGGACGTTAACACGGCCAGGCCTTTGCATCCTTACCGCGTATCCTTATTTTTGCGGCTTTGCGACAGCCACCTGCCAGTCTCGCGCGGGCTTCTCTCGTGCGGGGGTGGCTCCACGGCAGATTCGCGTCGTGTCGACCGGCGGCGACCCCAGCGCGGGCGTTTAAGGTTGAACGCCGCCTGTGGCCCAGAATCGGTCCATCCTTGAACGATCTGGCGTTCACTGAGCGGCCGATCGTTCAAGTTCGAACGATCCCCGCGAACCTGGCGTGAGTGCGTGGTGGTCTGCCGTTGCCGCGTGGAGGCTCCGAGATACGTGCGCGGCGTGCTGGCCGCATGCTCTTGGAGCCGGCTGCCCCGGGGCAGGGACGGGCCACGATGCCCTCGGGTGCCCACTGTGCCTACTTGCACCGTAGGTTTAAGTCGGGCATGTCCCTCTACAGGAGGAATGTTCAAAAATAGTCGAAACATAAAAAGGGGACGATTTGTTTTGATATGATGTTTGAACATCGTTTTGCATTTTTTTGATTTTTTGTCCAGAAGTCGCCTCTAGGAGGGCAGGTCCCTCTACAGGAGGAATGTTCAAAAATAGTCGAAACATAGGCCGGGGACGACTTTTCTATTATTTGTGAATGCATTTTTGAATATTTTTTATTTTTCGTCCAGAAGTCGCCTGTAGGAGGACATGCCCGACCTGACAGTAGGTTCGCGTCGTGTCGACCGGCGACGCTCCCGCCGCCGGCGCTCAGCGTTGAACGCCGGCGGCGGCCCAGAGTCGGTCGATGTGGAACGACCTTCAGGAGGGGAAAGAACACACCGACACAATTAATCGTCGATTCCCAAGAAAATATGGGAACAAAAATGGGAATTGGGGGGAAGACAAAACCCAGAAAATATGAGAAAATATGGGGAATCTTTTTATTTGTGTGTATGTATTTGTGTGTCCCAGGGCCCAGGGCCCCTTCAGACCTGGCGAGCGAAGAACCGCCGATCGTGTAAGATTTACCGATGCCCATGGTGTCAGGAACCAACGCCGGGGTGGTCACGACACGAACCTGCCGTGATTACGGCTCCTGCTCCTGCCCAGAAGCTTGTTCCCGGCTCACTTTCTTATTTCCTACTCTCCTTTTTTGTGTGAAGCAGTCGCACGCACAAGTGCGACGGAGGAGGAGAACCAGGTCGACTGCGCCGACGTTCGCGCGTATTTGCCCGCGGGAGACCGCGCGTAAGCGCCGTCTTTACACGCGGTGTGCCAAGCTGGCGGCCCGCGTAAGCCTCGGCGTAAGATCGCTATGTCTTCTCGCTTCAAACCTGTTCTTTTTCGTCGCTCACTTGATGTCCCACATGAGCTCTACGAGTGAGCTGTCTGGGGTCCACGCCGCAAGGGGGGGGCGGAGGCGGAGGCTGAGGAGGAGCAGAGGAGGTAGGCGGGACCGGGAGGAGGAGGAGGAGGAGCAGGAGGAGGAAACAGGAGCAGGCAGTTGCAGGAAGACGAGAAGGGGCAGAGGCTGCAGGAGGAGGAGGAGGAGGATGCTGATGCTGATGCTGCTGCTGCTGCTGCTGGTGATGATGATGATGATGATGATGATGATGATGATGATGATGATGATAATGATGATGATGCTGATGTTGCTGATGTTGCTGATGATGCTGATGATGATGATGCTGATGTTGCTGATGTTGCTGATGTTGCTGCTGCTGATGGTGATGTTGATGATGATGATGATGATGATGATGATGATGATGATGATGATGCTGATGCTGATGCTGATGCTGATGCTGATGCTGATGCTGATGCTGATGCTGATGATGATGATGTTGATGATGATGATTATGATGATGATGATGATGATGATGATGATGATGATGATGATGATGATGATGATGATGATGATGAGGAGGAGGAGGAGGAGGAGGAGGAGGAGGAGGAGGAACCAGGGTGGGCCCAGGAGACGGTGACCCTTGCGGGGTCGGCGACGCCGGCTCCCAGCAGCGCCGAGGCCGCAAGGTCGCAGTCGATGCTGCCGATCCTCATCGGCACGGGCGTGACTGCGGTGTTCCTCATCCCCACAGACATCCAGCGTCCTGAAGAGTTCGGTGATTGCGTAGCGCCCCGCAGTTGCAGAGCAGAGTGAAGGGGGCAGACGATGACGGCAACAACAACAGTAAGAAGCAGTAGCAGCGAGCAGAATCCGCGCCGCGGAATCCGACTTCGCCCTCGCACCCAGGGATGTTGTCAGACCGTTCGGCCCCCTCACTCTGACAAATATTTGTGTATTGCCATGCTCCGCGAGATCCTGGCGTAGCATCTTTCACACCGGGCGTTTTCGCCCAGTTTCGAGCCCTGGGGCCCTCATGTCGATCCGTCTCGAAAAATGCAGTCTCGAAAAATGCAGCCGGAAGATGGAGTCTGGGGCTCTGGTCATGATCGTCACGATGCTGTGCATGTTTTTTTTTGCGACGCCAGATCTCACGGAGCACAACGGTTTCTGTCTTGCCCCTTTCGGCTTCCCGAGGGCCCTCGCCAGGCGCTGGAGCCGGTAACGCAGGACGATCAGAACGGACACCCGTCCCATTGCGGGATGGTCGGGTCGGGCGGGCCCAACGCTTTCGTAGCGTCCCCGACCGCTCTGGAAAGGCTGCGGCGCCCGATGCACCATCCGGAACCGCCGGATCCTCAGAGGCCCCCGAGCCTTATACCTCCCAGGCCAAGAGCCTGTCCCGGTCCTGGCCTCCAAAGTTTGTTTCGGAGGACGCGTAGTGTGGGGGCGCGAAGTGGGGAAGCAGCGAGGGCCGCCGCAAAGGGGCCCTTGAGGGCCCCCAGAGGGGCACCTTGCTCCCCCATTCATTCATTCGCGCCCCATCGTATCGGGATGCCACGGGGGCCCAGACTGCAGGAGCCAGGACGCCGGATCTCTGGGCCCCGGGAGGGCAGAAGAGCGCACGTTCAGGGCGCCCGCGGGCGGCAGAGTGTGCCGCCAGCGCCGGGCCCCCTCCCAGGGCGCCCGCCGGGGCCGGCGGCGCCCCGTGGGAGCACCCCCGCCACCGGCGCGCGGCGCGCCTCCTCGTGGGCGAAGAGCACACGTACATACGTGGCCGTGTCCGCGGCCTGGCGGGCCGAGAGCGCCTGGCCCGTGACCTTCCGCGGGCACGGGGGCGTTTCTGTCGCGGGTGCCCCGCGCGGAGCGCACTCGTGCGACCGCGCATCCGCGGGGTCCGTCCTTCGACCGATCTCCTCAAAGATGGCCCCAACATGGCCCCCGATGGCGTCCCAAGGCCTCCGCATAAGCCCTCAAGAGGCCCCCAAAATACCCTCATTAGACCCTCCTCGAAAAGCCCCAATGGCCCCGGCGAAAAGGCCAACACCACTGATGCTACCAAAGCTTTGGCCAGGCCGCGAGGGCGCGGATGCGCACCTGCTCGCCGCTCGTGGCCTTCCCTTGGGTCCGACGCTGCGAGCAAGAAGGCAGCATCGCGACGGGCAGGGCCGCTTTCGATCGGATTCGCTGCGCTGCGATTCGCTGGCTGGGGCCGCGATTCCAGGGCCAGCTGGAAGCGGGGCGCGGCGATTCGGTGCCGATCCGATTCGGGACGACTTGCTGACGACTCGATCCGCTCTCGATCCGATCCGATTTCGTGCTCCGATCCAGCGCAGACCTGACAGGGCACGACCAGAGCCTCACAGTCCTCCTCCTCCTCCTCCTCCTCCTCCTCCTCCTCCTCCTCCTCCTCCTCCTCCTCCTCCTCCTCCCCCTCCCCCTCCCCCCCTCCCCCTCCCCCTCCCCTCCCCTCCTCCTCCCCCTCCCCCTCCTCCTCCTCCTCCTCCTCCTCCTCCTCCTCCTCCTCCTCCTCCTCCTCCTTCTGTGGCATCTTGCCGGCCAGATGGCTATTCGAGGGTCTGGGGGCCAGACGCCGGGCGGGAGTGCCCGGCGTGGACAGAGTTGCAACGCTCGCATCTCGGGGTGCGTGCGCTTCTGGCGCGGGAGCTGTGCATCTCCAGCGCCCCAGGTCGCAGGCGATTTTGCTCCCTCCCCCCGACTCCTCGACGAAAAATGGAGCCGATCAGAAAAGGAGGGGAACACTGGGATGCAACCCGAGGGGGCAGTTTGGACGCACCCCTTATCGAGGACGGACGCCACCCCACCGTATATATCCCAGGGTTGGGGCCCCAACTTCCTGGTCCCTTCGAAACCCCACGGAGCCTGGGATACATAGCAGGGGTCGACGTATCCCCCTTCACCAGGCCGGGTCAGCGGCGGTGGACCTGTGTTGCTTTCGTCGCCCCAGCGTCGAGGGGGTAGGGGCTGCGGCTGGGGCGGGGCCTGGCGCTGGCGGGGCCTCCGCTGCCCGCGGGGGATGCGACGGCCCGCACCCTGCGCGTGGGACGCACAGGGACATGCTCTGGCACCATGCTCGACTGGTCGTCAGAGTGGCCTTTCGCCGGAGCGGCCTTCCCCGAGAGCCGGCCATTCACTTTTTTCGAGACGGACGTGTTCGCCCAATTTAGGGCCCTGGGACCCTCACAGACGGATCCGGCTCGAGAGATGGCGCAGAAAGAAGGGGTCAGGGGATCTATTCGTGATTCTTTACGATCTCTGAATTTTTGCCGAGATGTCGGATCTCAGGTTTTGGTGCCGGCCCAAGGGGGTCGCCCGATTGCTGAACGCGAAGCGGTAGCAGCGGCTTGCGCGCCTGGGTTTGGCCATTCCGCGTCCCCATTCAAGCCGCGAGAAGTAAAGGTCACTCTTACCTAGGGTCACTCTTACGTGCAGCCGATATGGGGGCGACGCGCAAAATCGGCGGCGAGCGAGAGGGGGAAGTAAGAAGGAGAAGGCCTTCTCAGAAGACGGCCGGACTTCTCAGAAGCCCTCGCGCCTTCTGAGAGGTTGTTGTGTGTCTTCTGGGAAGGTTTAGCAAACTGTTAAGAAGGCCGGGGATCTTCCGCGCCTTCTGAGGAGGCCCGCCCCTTCTCACCTCTTCCCCTGGGCGCGCCGCTGACAAAACGCGTTCGACTGCGCCGACATTCACGCGTATGCTCGGGTGAGGTCGCGCGCAAGCGCCGTCGTCTCCACTGTGGCTTACCGTGCTGGCGGCCCGCGTAAGCCACCGCGTAGGGTCGCCGTACCATCTCGCGTGAGACCCGTTCCTGCTCGTGGCTCGTGTGCATCTGTTGGAGACCCACGCTCGACTCGAACACTTAACACAGGGCATGAAGCCTTGCAGTATTTCGTTTTTCCCGAGCGGTGTGGCCAGAGAGCGCCCGCCACCGAGCATACGGCCGGGGCCCTGAAGAAGGAACCCTGTTGGTTGGGGAGGGGCTCCGTGTTCCTTGATTGCTTACAGTTTGCCTTGGGTTTTGCTTCGGTTTCCGATGGGAAATCGAAGTTCAACTTGTGGGTCTACGGGGCCTCGTTCCTTACTTTGGGTCGACGCCCCGACTGTATAATCAACGGCTTCTTGGCGCGCGCGACGCCCCTGCGTGGGCCACGCGAGCCTCGTGCCACAGCACGGCCTGCGTGACGCCGAGCGTGAGCTCTCGCGCCCTCCCGCCGTCGCCGGCCTCTGGGTGCTGCGGGTCGCCTGGCGGCGGCGCAGAATGCCCGGGGAGGAGGAGGAGGAGGAGGAGGAGGAGGAGGAGGAGGAGGAGGAGGAGCAGGAGGTGGAGGAGGAGGGAGGAGGAGAAGGGAGGAGGAGGAGGAGGGAGAAGGGAGGAGGAGTAGGAGTAGTAGGAGGAGGAGGAGGAGGAGGAGGAGGAGGAGGAGGAGGAGGAGGAGGAGGAGGAGAAGGAGGAGGAGGAGGAGGAGGAGGACCAGTGCGAACCCAAGACTCATCGTCGGTGCTCCGCGAGCAGGGCACGCTTCGGGGGTGGACAGGAGCCCCCATCCCCGACACGTCGAGGAGCGAGTGGTCCGTGTTCGGTTCGCGAGAGGGCGCCGCGGCCGTCGTCATCCAGGCTTGCGCCCGCCAGGTCTGTGCCCGAGGCCGCTGTCACCGGACCACGTTTCACTGAAGGGGCCTCTGTCCATGCCCCATCGATGTCGCATACTCACCCAGCTCGATGCGATTCGATTTCGGTTCCCACCCCCGATCCGCGGCGCCCCGATGCTGGCAGCCAGCGCAGTTGAGCAGAGCCTGGCGCGGCCGGCCCGATGCGATTTTCCGACTCCGTGCCGGTGCAGCCCGAGATCCGACGCACGTTCCGATGCGATGCGCTCTTCCGAGTCGATGCTGCTCGGCTGTGCCCCGAGTCTCAGAGGAGGAAGATGTACCCATGCCTCTCTACCCTTCGCCCGTGTTTCCCCTTTTTGGGCCTCCTGGGAGGCCCTCGTCGCCACTGCTGGGTCCGCCTCGAGATCCCGGTCAGAACGCACCCCGGGAGAGGTCTTGATCTCCCCAGAGTCGTGGAGACATCACGACGGACGCAGTGCTGCGATTCTCGGCTCCCTGGGGCTCTCACAGGGCCACATGGACCGTCACACACCGATTCGGGATGCAAAGCGGGCCCCCGGAAGGGTTTCCAGACCTCTGGGGGTCCATGCCGTGAGAAGCTGAGGACGTCGATTAGAAAGTCCAGGGTTCGGTAGGGGCTGGCTTCCTTTCACAGCCGCCCGAACACTCCCAAAGCCCTCCGAAAACCCTCCGGGAAGGGTTACGCGGGATGCTTTCTGGAGGGTTCCTTCGGGAGGGTTTCCGTCGTCTTGGAGGGAAGCCAGTAGCCAGTCCCCAGCGAACCCTGGGCGTTTTTTAGACGTCGGGGGCCTCGGGAGATGGCGGGTGCCTCGTGGGCCGTCTTGGGGCGCTCTTCGGAACGTCTTGGGCCGTCTTGGAGCGTCGGAAAGCCGACCGAGTGAGCGAGAAGGTCAAACTCCTTCAAGAACGCGAGGAAATCTATGATTTGGGCTGCTCGGAGGAGCCCCCAGCCTCCGCGGGAGCCTGCAGACCCCTGCGAGCAGCGCAGCCCCCCTCCCACCCCTCCCCGGGAGGGGACCGACGTCCTCGCCCCGGCCCCGACCCAGATGGGCTCACACGTGCACGCGGGCGCCACGCCCCGACCCAGCTGGGCCCGTTTCGATTCCACCGATTCGGTTCGACTCGAGTTCGACGGCTTCCGACTCCGATTCGGTTTCGGATTCTGATTCGG